CCATTTTACTCATTTTTTTCCCGTTTACTCATTTTTCCAGCCTATTACTTAACATTTCAAATCTTTGTTAATCCAGTGTGGAGGGTGTACTGCCCCAAGCTTTAGGGGTTTTGTGCAACTATTTTCAGAGATACTTCTAGAGACCTGTAAGTTTTCAGTTCTTCCAAGGTGGTGTGATCTAAAGAGAGGTGTTTACTACTCTCCTGGCCCATGATCTGGTCTGTGAGTGACCACACTCTTTTCTGCCTTGGAACTGTGAAGAGGATTCCCACTCCATTGTTGCCACAAGCACTATGCCAGTGCTCCTCCTCACTTCAGGACTACAACCCAGGACTGTCATCCAGATCCAAGTATGGGCAAAGCAACAGAATCCTGCTTCAGTGCTAACAAAGAGACTCCTGTAATCTCCTGACCAGTTGTTTGATCCTCTTACCATCTTTTGGCTGAGAGCTCTGGAAGCATCCACTTCCATTGCTGCCACTGCTGCCACCTTGCTACTGCCACCTTCACTGCTGATTCAGTCACTTTCAAGGCCTGCTCCTGGTTTGCTGGGGCTGGGGCTGTGCTTGGGCTGGGGCTGGACTTCACTCCTGTCTCACCGAGGTCCAACAGACCTTTCCTACTGACCTTCTAAGTTGTTTTTGGCATTTGTGGGTTGAGAAGTCTGGAAACCACCACAGTTGCAAATGATTCAGTCCTTGGAGGCCTGCTCTAGGTTTGCTGGGGCACGGTTTATGCTGATGTGGTCTGTGCTGGACTGTACTTTTCTCTCAACCTTATGCAACAGACCTTTGTTGTTGTCCTTCCAGATTGTCAAAAGCTGAAAATTTCTTTCATTCTGTCTTTTTGTGGGTTCTGCTGTTCTAGTATTTGTTTAGAGTCATTTTTACAGGTATTTGAAGGGGTTTGGAGGAGAGCTCAGGTGAATCCCTGCTTTTACAGCACTATCTTGGTTCAGCCCTCTAGTAAAACTATTTCTAACCACCTTAAAATGATAATAAAATTCTTACAGGTTTCAATGTCATCTTCCCATTTGTAAATTTAAAAATATTAATCTTTATAAATTCTTTATGATTTCTCACTCATATTTACCCTTTTATATTTCTCACAAATTCGGTGTTTGAAGGCCCCATTTTCTATCCTGTTCTGGTTTTTTATCAATAATGACTGGAATTCCTCTATTTCATTTTTGCTTTATAAGAATATACTCAATTTTGCTGGGTAGGTAATTCTTGGTTGTAATCCTAGCTACTGTTGACTTCTGGAATATCACATTGCAAGCCTTTCATTCTTCATTTTGGTATCTGCTATACCTTATGTGATCCTTACTATGGCTCCATAATATTTTAGTTGTTTCTTTCTGGATGGTTGCATTATTTTCTTCTTGACTCTAGAACTCTGGAATTTGGCTATAATATTTCTTGGAGTTTTCATTTTGGAAGGTGATCTGTGGATTCTTTCAATTTCTACCTTGCTCTCTGGTTCTATGATATGTGGGGAGTTTTCCTATATATTTCCTATATAGTTTTCCTATGCTCCTATATGGGAGTAATTCCTATATAATTGTTTAAAATATTATATCTAGGCTCTTTTTTAAATTATGGCTTTCTGGTAATCCAAGTATTCTTAAATCATTTTTCATTAATCTGTTTACGAGGTCACTTGGTATACTGATGAGATATTTGACATTTTCCTTCATTTTTTTTTCAATCATTTGATTTCATTTTATTTTTTCATGATTTTTTCAATTATTCATTAGCTTCCATTTGACCAGTACTAACTTTCAAGAAATTAGTTCCCTCAGTGAGGTTTTGTACTTTTTCCGTACTTGGCCAATTCTACCTTTTAAGGAGTAATTATCTTCATTAATTTTTGTGCCCCTTTTACAGAACTGTTAATTCGCTTTTCATAATTCTCTTGAATTGCTCTCATTTTTTCCCAATTTTTCCTCTACTGCTCTTATTCAATTTGTAAATTTTTTCCCCCTTTTTAAAAGAAGTCTCTCTTTTTGTTTAGCTCTTCCTGGAATTCTTTTGGGGCTTTTGTCAGTATTGTCTTTTATTTGAGGCTTAGCTTATAGATATCATTTCATTCTTCTGAGTTTGGCTCTTGAACTTCTCTGTTATCCTCATAGCTTTTTATGATCAGGTTTACTTTTTCTTTGCTCATTTTTACATTTTCTTTTTACTTTAAACTTTCTGTTAAAGTTGGATTCTGCTCACTTCAGGGGTGAGGAGTTACTGTCTCAAGCAAGCTTCAGGCTTTTTTTGCCCTTCTATTGTAACAATTAGCTTTGGGGGCCTCTAAGCTTTTAGTGTTTCTAAGTTAACTTAATTGAGGGAGGGATGTGGTCCTGCTCTCCTGGTCAGCACTCTGGTGCTTAACCTAATAGAGTCCTTCTTTGCTCTCTCGTGACCACAACTCCTCTCCTCCCTGCAACTTGGACGTGGAACTGCATAATGTACAAGAGAGTTGTTAAATGGTGCCTGATCCTGTGCCTAGTCTTAAAACAGCGGTCCCCTGGAATATCTTTCTGACCATGTATTCATGGCCACCTTTTTGCTACTGCCATGGCCACCTCCAAGACCCATCACTGATGTCACTGTCTTGATCTGCTTTTGTCCATCCCCCCACTCCTGTGACACAGACCTCTCCTTCTGACCTCCTAAGTTCTTCTGGACTGGAAAAATGGCTCAATACATTCTTCTTCTTTTTTTTTAAATATACGTTTTTAGAATGTGATTAGATATGTTATTTTAAGGTTGTTTAGGAGAATGTTGTGAGATTACAGCTGGAATGCTCCCTTTGTTCTGCCAGGCATTGCCTGTGTCTCTTCCTCTCTTAACGTCTTACAATTCTGCTTCTGCTTCTGACTTCGTCATTCCACTGAAATTGCTCTCTCCAGTTACTAACGATTATACAACAAATGCAATGACCTTTTCTCAATCCTCATGCTCCTTGACCACTTTGAAGCCTTTGATATAATTGACTATTCTCCAGTCTGATACTCTCTTTTCTCTAGGTTTTTCTCTTCTGGGTCACACCCTCAAATCCCTAGGTTTCCCTCAGGGTTCTGACCTGGATCCTCTTCTATTATCTTGCTATGCTACTTCACTTGGCTTGCTTTTCAATTCCCATGGATTTAATTACCATTCTTAATTTCAACAGATTTTCAAATCTGTCCATCCTGCCCCAAACTCTCTGCTGACCTCTAATCTCTCTTCTCCAAATGCCATTCAGTAGATATCTTAAATTCAATATGATCAAAACCAAAAATTCATTGTCATTCCCCATAATTCCCCTGCCCACCTTCCCTATTTCTGGCAACATATTGCTCCCACTCCCTCAGATGCACAACCTCAAAGTTATCCTTGACTACTCACTGTCTTTCTCCCCTGCTCCCAAATACAATCTGTAACTAAGGTCTGTTGATTTCACCTAGGCAACATTTTTCAGAAATGTTCTCTTCTCTCCTCTGATGCTGCTCCCACTCCAGTGCAGGGCCTCATCATCTCACATTTGGATTATTATAATAGTCTGCTAGTGGGTTTACCTGCCTCAATTCTCTCCCTACATCAATTCATTCTCCATTTAGCCATGAAAATATGTTCCAGGAGTACAGGTATGATCACGTAACCTCCATCCTCGGTAAACTTCAGTGACTCCTTAGTGCCTCCAGAAGCAAATATAAAATGCTCTATTTGGCATTCAAAAAAGCCTTTATACCCTAGCCCTCTAATACCTTTTCAATCTTTTCCCACTTTACTCCCTGTCAACTTCACTTAGAGTATCAACGCACATTCTGTGAATAGGCTTGTTTAAGAAATGACTCAAGGGATGGCCCCTTCAATAATAATAAGAAAAAAGAATCAAACTGGGAAGGGAATACCTTTAGGGTTGCTGGCCAAAAGAGAAACAACTACTATTCACTCTGAGCCAGAAGGGCCCCAAAATAATCAGTAAGTGGTGATTTGGCAAAGACCTGTTTTTGTCCAATCAATGAAATCCAGAGTGAATTGGGTTTAAGGCGCGGACTTTGGGAAAGAAATCTAGCCAATAAACCCCAAAATAACTAGGTCCCTGCCCAAAACACTACTTAATGGTTATTTTTTGGGTCCTCCTTACTCTGAATGAATGTAAATAGTAATTGTTTCTCTTTTGGCCAGCAACCTGATAGTCTACCCTTCCCAGTTTGATTTTTTTTTTTTTTTTATTAAAGGGGCCATCCCTTGACTCATATCTTAAACAGGCCTATGCACTGGATGGGTGTCATAAAATCTCAGCTTAAAAAGTCCAAGATCTCCCACTGCATCCTGGGTCATCTCCAGTCATCCTTATATATATCTGGCCACTGGACCCAGATGGCTCTGGAGGAGAAAGTGAGGCTGGTGACTTTGCACAGTTTTCCCTCACTCAAATCCAGTTCAATCAACATCTCTCTGATGTCATGGATCTCTTCGAGAAGGAAGGACAAAACCACAACACTGTCATGTACACTTTGATCCAGTTTCACTGGTCACTTGGCTTTTCCACAAGCAAGACACTCCATCTCAGCTCCAAGCATCTTCTCTGGCTATTTTCCTTGCCTATAATGCACACCCTGCTCTACTCTGACTTCTAATCTCCCTGGCTTCCTATAAGTCCCAACACAAATCCTTCCTTCTACAGGAAGCTTTCCTCAACCTCTCTCAATTCCAGTCCCTTCCCTCTGTTCATTTTTTCCTTTTCATCCTATATATATAGCTTGCATTGTACAGATTTCTTCTCATATTGACTCCCATTAAACTGTAAGTTCCTTGAGGGCAATGAATATCTTTTGCCTCTTTATGTATCCACAGCAGTTAGCACAGTGCCTGGCACATAGCAGGCACTAAGTAACTGTTTATGGTTTGATTGATTGATCCATCTCTTCCCGATTCAGATTTATTGTTCTTTTGACAAGTCTTGGGGTTTCTTTTTTTCCCACTCATTTCTTTTCTCCTGCCATTTTTAAAAACCAGATTCAGCAAGGAAAACAAGGAGAGAAAGAACCCCTATGTGTACCTGCCCTTTGGTGCTGGTCCCCGAAACTGCATTGGGAAGAGGTTTGCAATTACGGGTGTGAAAGTTGCGATGTGTCGACTACTGCAGGAATTTTCCTTCAGAATTTGCAAAGAGACACAGGTCAGTAGTCACAGTATTTGTTTCAACATCTAGGATGGTATTTTTTTTGAGATTATTTTATTTTCAAAGTAGAGAAATAGCCTATGCCACATGGAGAAATTGAATTCAACACAATTTGCCTATTTATTGTTAACAAGCTATTAAAGAATTAAAACTTACCATTATTAAGATGGAAATATACAGAAGGCCAAGAGAGAAACAATTAATGCGTTGTTAGCTAAATAATCAATTTGATTTAACTATAATAACAATAACATTAATACAAAATTCTTGATTACAAAAAATAAAATTTTTGAATACCAATGTATAGCAGTCCCTTTTTGATACCTTTGTTTTATGTGAAAAAAAATATACAATGTTAAAGGTGATGGAAGTGAATAAAAACCTCTTAATTTCAGCAAGATTCTTAATTCTGTCTTATAAGAGACTAGCATTAATAAACCCCGAGTATATAGTTAATACATATTTTATATTTTGTGACAGTCTCTGAGGTCAAATCTATGTAATGTAATTACAGTTGTACCAAGATAACACTTCTTTGCATGACCTTCTAGTTAGTCTTCATTTGTATAATCTTCTTTTCCATAAGATATCATAAACATATGTAACTACTTCTCTTTCTCTCTACTGTTTGACACTGGTTGCTTATTGAACTCTAATTGTTTTTCTTAATTGTTGCAGGTTCCTCTGAAGCTGGGCAAGCAGCCATTCCTTACACCATCTGTACCCATGGTCCTGAAGGTTGTACCAAGGACAAAGAAGGTAAACCAACACCAGAAATTCTCTTTCTTATTCTATTCACCCCTATCTACAACCATGTTCTTGATTTTTCTTCTATAATCCAAAGACATGGAATCCTCAGGTTTCAAAAGTAACTTAATTTACCTTATGAACAAAACAAAGAAAAACCAACGAATTTATTTTTTAGCCACAGGAGAGGAGTACTTAGATTTTTCAGATGATCTTTTTGAGATCTCTATGTTTGAGAACATAGAAATGGCCCCCAAACAGATTAGTACCACTTGATACTAGGCTATAGTGGTTAAATGGATGAACACAGAGAAAATGATGAATTGAGTATCTGTTCATTATTTTTATGAGTAATAGTCCTTCACAGTTACAACAGGAGTGAACACAGTAATGTAGTGTGGATCATATTACTTATTTTTAATATTCTGTATTTGATTGAAGCATACTATATTTAATTTTCTAACTTTTTTCATATTTTTTGTCCTTTGGGTCTGTATCTTCTTTCATAACACAAATATTGTGGAAATATATTTTGTGTGATTGAACATTTATAGACTTTGAGGAGCCAAGATGGTGGAGTAAGCAGTATGTCACTCTTACCCTCCTTTGATGACCTTGAAGGACTCAGGAAATACTGCCCCAGGAGGAATCCTGGAAGAGTGGAGCCAGAAGAGAGATGGGAAGCAATAGTCTTTTGGCTTATGAGGCTGGGGGGGGGATTGATGGGAGGGGTCCCTCTTGCTGTGGCTGAAGGGGATAAGTACAGGCCAGGAGGTGTCCCAGCAAACCAGTGGCAAGCCCCACCTCAGTGGACCAGTAAGAGATCCTGAACTCCATGGCAGTGGAGCAGGCAAGTACCAACATCAGGACCCTTGTATGCCATGACACAGCCAGGGGAACTGGCAGACCCCAGCATGGAGAACCACCACTTTCCCTGGTGGAATGGCTTCCCCCAGCAGCTGGGCCTATCCATGCTCTAGCACAGCCCCAGGTGAGGAGTCAACTCCAGAAGCCTAACTACCCCCATCCCCACCACCCACCCTGCAAGCTTCAGTGTAACCCCAGAGAAATGCAGAAGAACCCCAATTGGCCTCGGCATACATCAGCCACCACCAGCTCCAGCTCAGCACTAGGTAAGCTACCAGGCCCCTACAGCTTCCAGTTGCCAGTACCTGAGGCCCTAGCACACAAACCAGTAGCGAGGCCCTTGGCTCTCAGCACAAGAAGTGTGGGCCAGTACCCCAGACAATTGATCAATTTTAAAAGCCAGGAAAAAGGCAAACAGGCAAACGTCAAGAGCAAATAGCAACAAAGAAAAACAAAGGCCACAGATTCTTACTATGGAGAAAGGAAGATCAAAACACAAATTCAGAAGAGGAAAATGTTATCAATATACCCACATGCAAAACCCTTAAAGGGGAATATGAGTTAGTCTTAAGGCCAAAAATATTTCTTGGAAGAGCTGAAGAAGGATTTTAAAAATCAAATAAGAGAGCGAGAAGAAAAATTGAAAAATTCCTTTAAAAATGCAATAGACAAAATGGGTAAAAAAGTACAATGAAGAAAACAATTCCTTAAAAAATAATAGTGGCAAAATGGAAAGGGAAGCACAAAAACTAACTAAAGAAAACAATTAGCTAAAAATTAGAATTGGGCAAGTGGAAGCTAATGACTCTATGAGACCTTAAGAATCAGTCAAACAAAATCAAAAGAATAAAACAACAGAAGAAAATGTAAAATATCTCATTGAAAAAAAAGCTGACCTGGAAAAAAAAATCCAGGAGAGATAATTTAAGAGTTATTGATCTACCTGACAGACATGATCAAAAAAAGAGCCTGGAGAGCATCTTTCAAGAAATCATCAAGGAAAACTGCCCTGAGGTCCTAGAAGCAGAGGGTAAAATAGTCATCAAAAGAATCCACTGATCACCTCCTGAAAGATATCCCAATTTGAAAACACCAAAGAATATTGTGGCCAAATTCTAAAATTACCAGGTCAAGGAGAAAATATTACAAACAGGCCAAAAGAAGTAATTGAAATATCATGGAATCACAGTAAAGATTATGTAGGACCATGCAGCTACTACAATAAATGATTGGAGGGCTTGGAAAATGTTTTCCAGAAGGCAAAGGAACTTGGATTACAAGCAAGGATCAACTACCCAGAAAAAGTGAGCATAATCTTTCAGGGAAGGAGATAGACAAACATTCAATGAAATAGGGGACTTCCAGACTTTCCTGATGAAAAGACCAGAGTTCAGTGGAAAATGTGATCTTTAAATATGACTCAAGAGAAGCACAAAAAGGTAAACAGGAAAGGAAAAAAAACATGTTATTCAATAATAGCAAAATGTTTAAATACCTACATGGGAAGAAGATATTTGCAACTCTTGAAAACTATCTCTACTATGACATTGAAAAGGGATATACATAGAGAGAGGGTGTGGGTGTAAACTGACTTTGATGTGATGAAAAAAAATGAATTAAGTGGTGAAAAGGGATTGTAATGGGAGAAGAGAAAAGGAGGAGACAGAAAAGGGTAAGGAACAAAGATGTATTACAGTAGAGAGAAAGAAGGGAGGGAGATAAGCATTGTTTGAGTCTTACTCTCATTGGGTTTGGCTCAAGAGAGCATAGGAATAAACGGAGTCTTCCTTAAAAAGAAAAGTAGCATCTACCTAAAGCCATCAGCAAGCATTGTATGTAATGGGGATAAGCTAGAAGCATTTCCAATAAGATCGGTGGTGAAACAAGGATGCCTATTATCACCACTGTTATTCAATATGGTGCTAGAAATATTAGCTTTAGCAATAAGAGAAGAAAAAGAAATTGAAGGTATTAGAATAGGCAAAGAAGAAACAAAGCTATCACACTTTGTGGATGATATGATGATATTATTAACTTTGATAGACGTATCTCTTCTTAGCAATGCAAGGATCTAAGACAACTCCAAAGACTCATGATGGAAAATGCTGTCCACCTCCAGAAAAAGAACTATGGAGCCTGAATGCAGATTGAAGCATATTATTTGCTCTCTCTCTCTTTTTTCTTTCTTGTGGTTTCTCCCATTGGTTCTAATTCTTCTTTACAACATGACTAACCTGAAAATAGGTTAATTTGATTGTATCTGTTGAGTCTATGTCAATTTACATGCTGTCTTTGAGTGAGTGGAGGGGAGATATGGGGAGGAAATTTGGAACTCAAAATCTTATGGAAGTGAATGTTGAAAACTAAAAATAAATAAATAAACTCATAAAAAATAAAGAAAAAAGATGTGAATGTTAAAACTAAAGATATATAAATAAATAAAATTTTTAAAAAAGAATATATCAAATTGCTTCCTGTCTTTGTGATGGGGGAGGTGAGGAAAACAGTCAAAGAAATATGGAACTCAAAATTTTAAAAAATTGTTAAAAATTGGTTTTATATGTAACTGAGAAAATATATCATTTCTTTAATATTCTGCATTGGTCTACTATCCTGCTACAAACCACAACAAACCTTTCAGGAAACTCCTTGTTTAATGTCTGGTATCCCTTAAAGTCATATCATTATCACTTAGTTGGATGGGCAGACTGTTGGTTTTGATTACCCTAATTTTTTTTCCAATTAACTTCTCAAAATTTTCATACAGAAGTCCAGTTTAATCTCTCATAGCTTGGTAAGTGGACACATAGTTCAGTTAGTTCTTTTTTCTTTTCCATTCCTTCCACAAACATTTGAGTGTAAACACTGATGAAAACCTTGGGCTTATTTGGATCAAGTTCAGTCTTAGAGACTCCATACAAGTCAGACTCTTTTGGTTGTGTCCCCATTGAGGGTTTCACCCAAGAACATCAGCATTTGTCTCCTTTCTTATTCTCTATGCAAATTGCAAAAAGAATCTTCAATTTCCACCCGAATATTTATGCTAACAATTTGACAATTATAGTGTAGGCTTTCTTTCAGGTGACAAAAATCTATAAAACAAAGCATTTATACCTGAGCTTGTAAAAAGTCAAAACAACTCTCCTTACATATCTAGTTAGCCTCTGTTTCACCCAAGGATAACATGTGGTTGAGGTGCAATCAAAATTGAAAAACAATTGGGGCCATTATAAAACCAATCCCTATCAAATTTGTTTCTCTTTACACAGTCTTTCTGTTCAAGGCATCTTCAATGGAATCCTGGTATTTTAAATCTCTCTCTATTCCCCAACTCCACAAATAAATTTCAAGTCCTTAGCTTATTTAATATGGGATCCAGAATATTTGAAAGAAAACCAATGGTAGGCTATGAAAGGGTGCTGGTGGAAAGACTAGCTGGAACATTCTAAGATGTTTGATTCTTTTTTTCATCATCTCCAATCAGTATTCAATTTTTCTTTGGTAATGTTTCTTGTATTTGTTTAATCATTGCCATTGTATTTAACCACTCTAGTGTAGACCTATACTATCTCATCCCTGCACTACTGCAATACTGGAGTAGGTTTATAAGTGGTGTCCCTCCCTTGAATCTTTTTCTGTATGAGTCCACCTTCTGGCTCCATACCAGATTATCCTTCCTAAAATGTTACTTGCAAAATGCCATTCTCCTACTGATTTTGTTTTCATTTTTTTAATTGTCTACAGGGTTAAATATAAACTCTTGCCATCTCATATACATATCTATCACTAAAAATTACCACAACCATATTTTTTCTGAAGTTAATTGCAATGTGTTGTAAAGGTGAAATCATATGAAGTAGCTAGGTTTTATAGCTGATAGAGTACTTGGTTTGGAATCAGGAAAACTCATCTTCATAAGTACACATCCAGACCTGAGACACTTACTAGCTATGTGACCCTGGGTAAATCACTTAATGCTTTTTGCCTTAGTTCATAATCTGTAAAATGGGCCTAGAAGGAAATGGCAATCAGTTCCAATACCCTCACCCAAACCCTTCCCTAAGGAGTAAGTCAGAAGAGTTGAACACAACTATAAGAGCTCCACAACAACAGAAAAAGGTGAAATCAATACTGTTGTCAAATATGTGGACCCTTATGGTTTGTGACCATTGGTAAGTTGTTTTACCACTCTTGTCTCAATTTTATTTTCTATAAGATGGAGGGAGTACTTGTTCTATTCTAATTTTTAAGGTTATTATGAGGAAAGTACATTTTAAGCTTTAAAGTGCTA